CAAATAAACATACCCCCGGAATAAACGTACCCCCGGAAATTACCAAAATTGACGGGTAACCTGTGTCTCTTGTACTAAAATGCACCCTTACTGATATATGCACAAATCTTTAACTGTTATTTGCAATTAGGAATTTAGATAGACAAAAAAAAAGAGCATTTAATATTTTGTATTTTGATAAGCACCACCCATGACAATAGAACATTCAGACAAATTTATGCACGCGGTGATTGCAAAAACCGGCCCCAAAATGACAAGTTTCTCGCTACAATATGCGTTTATAAACGTCTTCACGTCGATGATTTGTCAATTTTTTTCACATGAAGTTGAAAAAAATTACTGGTTTTCAAAAAATTAATAAACGTACTGTGCAAAATAAGAACGTACTGGGTGGATGTTTGGGCCCAAAAAAAATAAACGTACCCGTATGTTTATTTGGCAGATAAGATCTAGAGTAATAACATTCTAGGGGATCTGGAACAGCCTTCCATCCAGACTTTCTTGCAGCCAGTGTTTTTTCTGTGAGCGCTGCTAGGACCTACAGTAGCAGTTTTTTTTTCAGAGAGAGAGCTGTTTACAATGTACATCCATGTGTGGCACACATGCATGTAAACAGTTCTCCCCCTAAAATATGTGGAGAGAGAGCGAGCTACATCACCAGTCAGTTTTGCCCTGAAGGTGACAGACACAGATAGTCATCAAAATGTTGGATGTGAGAACCCACATTGGTGAATTAAGAACCTAAGGCCACACCAATTTAATTTCTTGGTTAATTAATTCACCCGTTTCATTTTTTTCTGATTTGAAAAAAAAAATCAGAATCAACTGAAAAAGGCTCATATGTTACCCTGAACAGTTGAAAACAGTCCTTTTCTTCCTAGTTGTTACAGTTATTCTATCTTATAAAGCAGCAGTGGTATCATTAAACGTTCAAAATTCATTGTTTCAATTTTGAACCAGTCTGGTGTGTTGACTTCATGGCTCCTACATTTTGTATCTTACCATTTTGGGCCATAATAGGATGCCTATGACTGTTTTTACTTTTATTTTATTTTTGCCCGTCAGCTCCATTATTTTTCTAGAAAAGTCCGTTAACCAAAAAATCAAACTGGTATGGCCTATGAGCAGGCTTTTAGCTAGGATTTTTTTGTTGGGCGTCCATTTTTTGCTTTGTATGCTATGCTCAGCAAAGATGCACGGTGCACAAGCTTTTTAGGGGGCCTTGTTTGAAAGTCAAAATGCTCTCAAACACTACTTTTTGCATTTTGAGTTACAAATTTTGAGGAATTTGAGTTTTTTTCCTTCAGTAAACCATCATTTTTGTATTTATAGTAAGGCTGAAGGGAGGCATGTGTGCAAGGCAGGGTTGGGAGTGGAAAAAAAACAGGGCGTCTTTAGGGTGTCCTACCAAAAAGTAGGGCGTCCAATTTCTTAGTATTTTCAGTACAGGGCGTCCAAAAGACACCCTGGACACCCCCTAGCTAAAAGCCTGCCTATGAGACTTATACTGCTGTACAGTAAACACGTTTCTTACATTTCCGGTGTAGTCCTTATTCTCAAACATGTTCTCCGTCATCTTGATGATGTTGAGCAGGAAGTCGTAGTTTTGGTCGATGCAGGTCCTGAGCTTGCCCAGGTGAGCCGTGTGATTGGGCAGCAGCTTCTGCTGGTACGGAGGCAGCTGCCGGAAACATCTCTCTGCCTTGTCCAGGCGCTGTAGGGAGTGTGTTCTGAAAAAAATCACAGTATTCACTTAACTATTGTAACACTTACAGGTAATAATAATAATACAGTATGTTTACATTCTTGCCCTACTCTTAGGAGTGCATATCACTGCCACTCTCATCTGGGGTGTACATACATGTACCTTGAGAATAGTGATGCATACCGGTTCACTGGACTTGGATCCGGACTTGTAAGAATGTTTAGGTTCAAGTCCAAAAAAACCTAAAAGTCAAGAACCGAGTCCGGACTTATTACCATAAAAGACCATTTCACATACCCCTTTTCTTTCCAAACCACCTAAAACCTTCCGTAGATTGTAAAATCTTTGCTGCAAAATGAAGAAAACATTGCCATCGGGCATCGTCAAGTACCAGCCTCCATGTTATGTGGCCAAAGTTTCACCCAGACAACATTGCAAGGTTGCCAACATGCAATTTTGTATATGCCATGGGTTTACGTCCGGACTTACAAGTCCGGAACTGAACCTAAACCTCTGGACTTGAATCCGGACCTGAACCTAAAATTGGGTTTAGGTATATGCATCACTACTTGAGAATCCAACGGTGTTAAAGGCATTTCTGCCTGTGGTGTACACCCTCCTCTCATTCAATATGTATTCTCTGGCTCCAGTGCTTATCCAGCCTAGACTTGAAGCTGTTGACGCTCTCGGCGTCAACCACAGAACTGGGTAGGGAATTCCATAACTGCACTGCTCTTATGGCAAAGGAGTGCCTCCTTACTGTGGCCTTTGCCAGTGGGACCTTTAACTTATACGAGTGCCCTCGTGTTTTCTCCACCTGACTAGATTAAAAAAAAACTCCTCAGGTTCCACTCTCTCTCTTTTGGTCATGATCCTGTACATCTGTATCATGTCCCCCCTCACTCTCCTGTATCTAAGTGAAGGTAAGTGTACATGGTGAAAAAGTCCCGTTCTGGTGTCTACTACATATACCTTTCCGCTGCGAAGAAGGCTGGACTCTGTGTGTGTGTGTGTGTGTGTGTGTGTGTGTGTGTCTCAACATGGCCCTTAGGACTGGTTAGGATGTAAAATTGTAATGGATATTGTTACCTCCGGGGGAGGAGACATCCTTCCGCGGAAGGGTTTTGTGAGAGATTTAGATTTAGATGTTCGCAGCTGTTTCTCGCGTTTGGGTGGACAGATTTTTTTTGGCTCATTTTATGTTTTGCTATTGGGCTGTAGATGATGCACGTTCTTTTGTTTTTATTATAATTTATATATGTGTTTTCGGGTGTGAAAATGGTTCCTTTTGGTGGCCCCAAAAGACCCCTTTGAGTGAAAGTGGTCGCGACCGTTGACCTTTGGCGTGTTTAAGCTATTCTCGGTCTGGTCCACGTATATGACCCCTCACATAGAGGGGTGTCCGGTCTCGATAAATTCTTCGTTTAAAACCCTGTATAGAAATATACAATAAAAAGCCCGGAGGCATAAAATCTCAGATTTTACTTGTTATTATTAGGATGCCGGATGTAAGGGATATTGCACACCGGGGCATTGGTGGGTTCGTGCGTGGGGTGTGGCTCTCCCCAAACACGGGACCTCCATTTAACGTCCTATCCAAGGGACCTAACCTGAGTGAAGTGAGGAAAGTCCTGTAAAGTTCCTTTCCCAAGGGCACAAGATGGGTGACAAGGTGGGGTTCAAACCAGGGACCTCTTGATTCAGAGCCGAAGATGCTAATGCTACGCCACACGACCCCACAACAAGTGATGCATACCTAAACCCAATTTTAGGTCCAGGTCCGGATTCGAGTCCAGAGGTTTAGGTTCAGTTCCGGACTTGTAAGTCCAGACCTAAACCCATGGCATATACAAAATTGCATGTTGGCAACCTTGCAATGTTGTTTGGGCAAAATTTTGGCCACATAACATGGAGGCCGGTACCTGACGATGCCCAATGGCAATGTTTTCTTCGTTTTGCAATCTATGGAAGGCTTTAGGTGGTTTGGAAAAAAAGGGGTATGTGAAATGGTCTTTTATGGTAACAAGTCCGGACTCGGTTCTTGACTTTTAGGTTTTTTTGGACTTGAACCTAAACATTCTTACAAGTCCGGATCCAAGTCCAGTGAACCGGTATGCATCACTACCCACAACTGCTTCACATGACTGGTTAAAGATTTTGTACATTACAGCCATTTGAGCCTTCATGTTATTATTTGTACTGAACCCTTGCTTCCTCAATTCCAAACAGTATACAATGTACGTACTTCAGTACTGTAAGTGGAAGAGGATTTTACAGCAAATTATATGTTTCAAAATGCATAAAATTTCTTTGTAACAATGTTACAGAGATCCTCCATAGAGGTTGCTCGTACAGCACCAGTATTGGCATAGGCCCAGTGCCCCCCTCCCCCTTCAGCACACTTTCCTACAAGCATTGTGAAGAAACAAGACTTTTTTTGACAAACTAAGTGATCATGGAGTGATGAATTATACCTGTAGTGCCTAAATGCGCTGATGACTCGAAAGAAATGTTGTTGTTCCAGGCGTTCTTCCTCGTTTTGTGTTTCTTTACTGTATTTCTTCTTTTTTTCACCCGTCGCCATCTTGGACGCTGCCATTGAAGTTTTCCTCTAAAAGTAGGGTGTAATTTTTTTCGAATTTCAAACTTCTGTCTACTTCGTCGATTAGTGTTGTAAAAGATTTTTCTAATATTTTGTGAATTTTCAAACATACATTCATAGAAAAAAACATGTGAATCGGTTTAGCTTTCGATATAATCTACTCTTAATACCATGACCCTATTTGGTAGTGGTTTCTTCCACATGTGGTTGCTCAATCATTACGTGGCGGCATGTGCCTACTCTCCAAGCAGAGGTTTGGGTTGGGGGGG